TTTTTTTTTTTTTTTTTTTTTTTTTTTTTTTTTTTTTTTTTTTTTTTTTTTTTTTTTTTTTTTTTTTTTTTTTTTTTTTTTTTTTTTTTTTTTTTTTTTTTTTTTTTTTTTTTTTTTTTTTAAATTTATTTTTTTTATGTGAAGCTTGGAATTTCAGGACTGATTTCTGGGCTTGTTTGCTCTCAGTTCCTGGTGTAACTCAGCCCCAGCGGTGCTTGATGCATCTATTTACTCACACAGGGCTGTTGCTGCCCTTTAAAATCGTAATTAACAAAACATAAACGTGCAGCTAACGAAGAGAGCGCTTGAGCTCTTCCATACGTGGCTCTTGAAATGCTAAAAAAACCCGAAGATTTTTAAAGGCATTTTGTGACCTGCATTTTAAGAGTGGTTTTTGTTCACCTGGTGATTTTTCACAGCTTTCCAGGACTGTGTTTTTTTTTTTTTTTTTTAAATCCATAGTTAGAGTCATTTAATTTTGAGGCCTCTCAGTGGGAGCTGTGTTTGAGCTCCCTCTGATGGGCCTTGCAGTGTTACCTTGAAAGAAAAATAAAAGACCCCCCTTACCCCCCACCCCAACCTCCAAAAAGCTGCCCAGTGGGTGCTGTCTCCCTGCCCCACCTGCCCTGGAATGAAAACAGGGAATTCAAATCAAATTAATGGTGATGTTTGGACACACGGGGCAGAAATGTTTGCTTGTGTGTCTTCAGGTGTTATCAAAAGTTGCAGGTGGCTGAGTGTTCTGTGAGTTCTTGGAACCTACGCGAGGTAAAAAGTCGGTGTTTGTATTTCAGACCTGGGCGGTTCTAATACAAACCCCTGTTTTAGCCGGATTTTCCCAGGTGGGGTGTGTTGTAAGGGCAAAGGTGGCCGTTTCACCAAAAGGGAATTAAATAAAAACGTGGTAAAACGCCGCAGTTTTGTGTTTGTGTGTGTGTGTGTGTGTGTGTGTGTAAAACACACACGTGTCCCCCTGCAGTGAAATTTGTACTTACAGATGAGACAGTTACTCATTTACTTGTTCCTGCTGGCTGGGGAAGAGATCAAAATATCTCTTTGTACATCCCCAGCTCATCCTTAGATGTAGATAATATGCAAAACAGTATTTAACAGCTTAGTTAAATCAGGAATGCTAATCTGCTTTTAAAAATGAGAAACACTAATGATGATGATGATACAGAGCCATGGTGGTTCCTAATGTCTCCAGCAGGGTTTTTATTAAATAATTCGATAAAAAAGAGATTCCTGGAGACCCAATGGTAGGTTTTGAATGTCTGAGGGATATTAAAGAAATGCATCAAAATCGGGGCTGAGCCCTCCTAGCACGGGGGTTGATGCTTGCAGTTGGAAGTTCAAGTTAAGAGTGGGTTCCTCTCGGATCAGAAATGGTGATTTCTCAAGCTCCAGGGGGTGGTTTTTAACGTGCCCAGGTGCAGGGTTTGGATCCTGAGTTTGCACGAGATAGGTGGGTTAGGCTTTGTCTGTGACCACCCCCTGATGGCTCTGGTGAATCCCAGAATCCCAGAGGTTGGAAAAGCCCTCCAGGGTCACAGAGTCCCCACCTTGTCCCCCAGCCCCGAGCACTGAGTGCCATGGCCAGGCCTTCCTTGGGCACCTGCAGGGACGGGGACTCCAAACCTCCCTCACCACCCCTCCACGAGCAAATCCTCCTGATTTTCCACCTGGACCTCCCCTGGCACAATTTGAGGCTGTCCCCTCTTGTCCTGTGTTGACATCCCATCGACACCAAACCCCCAGAACCGAACCAGTTGTTTCCGAAGCGCCAAAGACGCTCCCCGTGCCACCACCTTGGGCATCGCCAGGCACCGGCTGGGTGCGAGCAGCACCCGAGGAGCTGCAGGTGGAACTTGCAGGGTGTCGATTCTTTGAAAGAAGGGCTGCAGCTCAGGCAGG